CCCCCCCCCCTGCTAAGAGGGGCTCATTATCTGAATTTTGTACAACTGATTAAGGCATTCCAATATTTTCAGTTCTTGTATGCATGTTACCATTTTTATGTGCAATAACGTTAATTCTACTACTCCTTTAATAGAGTCTTGTCGGCCACTCCAGACCAGAGCTACTGAAGCAGAAGATAATATTGCTGTGTAAAACATTTGTGCGCCCTTCATTGGTGATTTTGTTTCTTGCTGGATCCATAAGGAATGCCGGTGGCTATGTCTGGGCCTATAACACTCAGCCTTACTTTAACAAATACTACCCAAATACCAATGTTGGAGAATACATGAGCTGGATTCCTCTAGTGGGTGGCAGCCTGGGCGTGGTTCTTGGAGGTTTTATCTCCGACCGAATTATAAAGAACCGAGGATTTTATGCAAGAGTCTGGGTATTGGTTTTTAGCCAGGTAAGAAGTGATTGATAATAATTATTAGAATACTTCATGCATGTTTACTTCGATGAATCTTATTGATAACATGAATAGTTGACATAGTGGTGCAAAGTTATTTTACAAATGCCATAATAAAATTCTTATTTTTATTTTCCCCCAGGTGATCGCTGCCCCATTTGCTGCCGGAGCTCTGTTTCTCAAACCTCCATATGCTTTTATCAGTCTGATACCATCGAACATCATTGGTGAAATGTGGGTCGGCGTGACCTTAACTGTGGTAGTTGAACTTGTGCCAAACACCATTCGTTCACCTGCGATCGCTGGTTACCTTTTTATAATCTCAATTATTGGTGGTAACATGCCATTGCTTGTTCCTCCTCTAAAGAGAGTAACCAGTCTGCGCACAGCATTATATATCCTGTTTCCTGGTTTGTACTTGCTTAGTTCAGTGCTGTTCTTGTTGACTGTGTTTTCACTGAAGCGGGATCTACGGCGTGCACAAGAGGAAGAGGATGTGATACGGCCATTATTGCCCGAGACACCTACGGCAGAACATCCTAGAAAACCAGTATAAATCTGTAAAAGTTATACTATATTATTGTAAAATTCATTATTGAAAAGACATGATGCCTGCATGGGGGGCACCCCTGTGGTAGTGGCTTATATATGGAGGTTCTGCCCGAAAGGGCACCTTCTTATTTTTTCAGTGTATGAAAGGGTAGGGATTTCACAAGTTGAAGTACTGTATATGAAACAGTAGAAAAATCTATAATTTAAGTATTTAAAGGGGCCTTTAATTAAAATGTTTCCAAGAGACAGGCCTTGTGCTGATGATGGCTCCCATGCTTGTGACATGTTGATCATATCATTTCTCATTTCTTCATTGAAATTGACCATCTTTCTCTATATATCACAGGCCTTACGGTTATATAATTTTAATTTATTAAATGGTTACATGAAAATGACAGGACATCCTGTTTAAACGATTTGTTCGTACTAAGAATGTATGTTGAAGGGGTACCATTTTTCAATGAAAAGGATACGAAAGGCAGAGCTTCCTCATATAGGACTTTACTGAGTAGTTCCCTCCTGAGGTGAAAACATCCCATGGATGTTGTCAGCGATGTAACAATTTTAAATACACTTTCATAGTTAAGTTGACTTCTGAGGGCATTTACACTAGCCCATCCACATAACTCTACAAAATGTTTTTTTAATGCAGACCTTTTATACAAACTATTCTGATAATAAATCAGACTGCTCTGTTGTGCGTGCCAGATCACCTTAAATTAGCTTAAGCAGTCTGTTTGAGTGGTGCTTCATTTAAAATCAACTGTTTCAATACCTTTTGTTCTTTGGACAATTTCCATGTGCAATCCATCAACTTCTGGTAAATAGGCTATTTCCAAGTTCCAAAAACTGTCACTTTCAAATGAGGCTTCATTTGAGTTTTATTTGCATGAGAATAAAGAAATCATTTTCATGTCAATGGTTTCAGACTTGGCCTCGCTTTGAAACAGAGACTTGACGCAACTCAGAAATGACCTAATTGCTGACACTGCTCATGTAAAAATGATTATACTTTTTTATACAAAAGTCAGGTTTTCATGAAGCACCACCCAAACCACGACAGTTTTGAAAACATTCACCACTTTCACATAGACCATAATGCACCTTGTTTAACCCTAAAGTTTTGCGCAACCATTGCTGTATGGTGCTCTATGTGAAAATGGTGAATTGTGGTATTTGAGATATTATGAGTTCTCCTCCCCCCCTCCCCCTATTGTTTCAGTCATGTTGCTATAAAAAGTCCATCTGAAAACCCATGGAACCAATAAGATAACCGAGGGGGAGTGTGGCCTCCTTCTTTAGCTGGCATATTAAAAATGATCGGCCCTGGAATCATAAGTACAGTCTGTAGTTGACTCGTTGTTGATCTGTCCCGCTAGCTCATACTGATTTTTATTTTCTCGATTACGCCTCCAGGTCACGTTATTCAAGGTCCGTTCATGACACTAGGTCATGCTATTCGGTTTCTTAGTTCTTCTCAGATTACGGCTATACTATATACTTTTTTTATCGTAGCGAGAATAGCCGTGACTTCAAGCAGCTTAATACCAAATGATAAAGTTTTTGAAAAGTATTATATATTTAATGAATGTAACTGAATCACTTCAACTTGAAGCAACTAAGGAAATCCTCTGCTGATTAATGAGTGACTTGCATATTCACTTCAAAACAGTGACGCTTAGAGAAAACTGCCTTTGGTTCAAGTTAACTGTGGTTCATGGTTATCAAATTGCTGTGATTATATTGTGCCTTTAAAGATTGCTTCAGCTTTTCAACGTTTAGAAAAACAAGCAATCTCGCTTCTAGAGAAATCACTATTAAAAACGTTTCAAATTACAAAATACCAAGTAAAGATGCTTTTTTCCAACGTGGACACTGGTAATGACATGCTAAGAGTCCATTACACTCATGAATGTGGTGAATATTACGCGCGCTGCGATTGGTCGTTGGCCATGATACTATTCAGGGCCTCTCGATATGGGCCCGGTTTCCGAGATCTCGCGTTACCTCTAAATCATTTGTAAACATGTGGAGAGGTCCTCAGTTTTCTTAGGGTGCGTTCCTTTGCCAGGAAATTCGGATCAGGATCAGTGATCTGAGATTGCTCAGCCGGATCATGGTACATTAAAAGGGGTGTTTACATGAGAAAACTCCCACCGGCGCTAGTCTCATACCGAGATGACTTTATTATTATTGTATCGCGTTTATATTATGACTAGGTCATTTTGAAGGTACACTTCATGTTGATAAAATACACGTGTGATTCAAAATCGCAAACATTACGCATGCGCTACCCGTTCCAGTCTACCGGCAGACCGATTTCACACCGAAACGGGTGGTCGTTTCGCGTTTACATGATACCCCTGCGAGATTTCGTACCGGAGTGAAATTCTCGTCCCGAAACAAGAACCGGGGTGAGCTCACGCCGGGGTGACTCGCGCCGGCATGACATTTTGTGGTGGTATCATGTAAACAAATATAGAGCCATGAGAGGGAACCGGAATGAACTCTCTCCAGGGCGAAAGTCGCCCCGGTGTCATGTAAACACCTCGAGAACAGATGAATCTTTCCCAGACTGGATTCGTCGGTTCCTTTGATGATCCGACTGATCTCGTATCATTGATCCTGATCCGGATCATCCCTGAATGAATTGACCATCAGTTAATTCTTTTCAGATTACGGCTAGTTTTTATACTATATATATAATAGCGAGAATAGATGTCATTTTAGCAGCTAAATGATAAAATTTAACCCATTTCTGTTCAAGGAGTTGCTTGGAATTGTTTTAAACTCAAAAATTCACTTTCCAGTGAAGCTTTGAAGAACCTGTTTTTGGTTCGAGTTAAACTGTGGTTCATGGCTATCAAAGTGCTGTGACTATAATATTCTTTTAGAGATTGCTTAAGTTTATATATCAACGGTAAAAAAGGAACAAACAATCTCGTTCCGAGAGAAATCACCATTAAAACCGCTAAAAAGTACAAAAAAGACAATGTAGAGATTTATTTTTCCAACGTGGACACTGGCAAAGACTTGCTAAGAGTTAATTTATCACACTGTTGACTTTAGCAAACGTTATTTGTAGATATTGATGTTTTGGGCACCAAATGTAGCGGGAATACTGCAAGTAACGTAAATGTTGGATCAGTCTCTCCCGCAAGAGCCAGCTGCATAATTAGCTAACGACTGACGCTCATCCCAGTCAAACTCTTTAACCTAACGCTAGAAGCCTGACAGTTACGTTTGACGTTGGTCTTTTCCTCGGCGGAGGGGCAGGGTGTGGTTTTGAGGGTCTTGAGCCTAATACAGGGTTTGCAATTAATTTCACTATTTAGCGTCACGTGCATCCACTGTATAAAGTATAAACTTTATAATTACCCAAGGCCCTACGTCACACATTTCACCTTTTGATAGTACTGTCCCGGGGTACTGTCCGACGTTGCTCTGATTATCCCTTTTACACGTGAATGTTTTCTATGGTTGTGGTGTACATGTCAGTGAAACTTGACAAATTTGGCTTTGACAGGACCAGAGAAAACTTGTTCACAAAAACTTGTCGAGAAAAACGTGCTGGGACTTAAGAATCTTGTGACTGTCATTTGCGCTTATATTTTCCCACACGTTTTCTCTTATGGTCACGGGTCAACCAAAGTATATCTCTTTTCATATTCTGTTACGCGCTGTTGTCGCTGATTTATCTTTTCCCTTCGTCGTAAATTCAAGCCGTTCAAGAAAGCAATGGGTGACAGTTTTGTGGTAGTCTTTAAGGCCGGTGGTTACGCGGTGTATGTTCTATTTCTTTTGCTTGGTGCATTTTTGTTGAATCAACTAGACAGGTACGCTTTAGCTGTGTCATCGCAGCCCATGGCTCACGACATTAAGTTTGGAGATAAAGGATGCCTGCCTTACAACTCTACCTTTTCAAAGGATTACAAAAACTTTTGTGTCGAAAGCACGAAAAACAGGAATGAGCCGGAGAAAAACCAAACCGAGTAAGTATACCTATATCATTATTTTTTTATTATTTTACAGACCGGCGACTTTTGTTGTGTGAAACTATGGCTCGTTTCCGGCTAGTGTCGGCTTAAACTGGTAATTTCTTACTTCGACTTCAGAGTCACTTTCTGTGCCAAAATCAAATACAGTCATTTTGACTTTGCTGTACATATTTTTTTTCAGAACATTTTCTAGGATTAGCTTTCATTCATTCATTTCATTCATTCATTCTTTATTTGCCATATATACAAAATTTTACATTGCAAGGTGCTAAAACTCGTAAAAAATTACCAGACGCTGTCAAGCATCTTTCAGCAACAATAATAAAAAATCCTAACATGATTCCGAGGCTTTCTGGTCATTTTTCTTTATTTGGTTTGTAAAATCATACAGTTTTGTCTCTACAGCCCAGAGGGGGGAGGGGGGGGGGTACTCCGGATTTCAAGTGACAGGAATGGGGGCAAAAATAAAAACAGAAAAATATCCCTAGGGTGTCAAACAAATCCGAAAAAATCCCTGGACCAAAATTTAACCCCCAAAAAATTCCATGCCGTATTTCCGAGCCATAAAAATTTCCAGAGGAACTACGCGGCCGGGATACACGAGAACTATCAAGAATACTCAGATTGTTTTGCATAGCCCAAGCTAAAGCTTAAATCAAGCTACCCAAAAAAAGCTTGTCAAAATTTTCCTATCCAAAAAAATCCTTTGATCATCCCTGACACTTGAAAACCGGAGCATCCCCCGGGCCCTATAGCCTCAGGGTCATGTTAGAATTTTAATAAATGGAAGGTAGGCATTAGACTGACGTCGTTATTCAGGTTATTGCCATTATTATTTTTGTCTATTTGATCTACAAGTGGACAGCACGCCGTTAATACTAACTTTTATTACAATACTAACCGTTTTTGATTACGTGAAATATTCCCACGTTATTGTTGATCACTTCCACCCGACGGTGGGAGGTCTAGGCACTAGATTACACTGTACTGCTATGTTTATCTTTATTTTAAAATAATATGCTTAGTTACTGACCTTTCTCTAAGCCCTCAATTCCATCCGATCCAATGACGAAATTGTTATCCAAACACGCTACCCAGTAGAATGGGCATCGCCCCTGATTTTAGTCCATATTTAGCCTCTTGACTTCCTGTATGTTACTTCATTCAGTTCATTCTAGTTGTTGAAAGTAGAGTAGAATCTGCCATGAAAAAACGGTGGCTGGAACTTCCCAGGGACGAAAACCAGCAGGCTCTATTTGATTCAGACGCCGAACTTTTCATGTACTCGGCTGGGCTCGTTTGAACTGGGCCTTACAGGCCATCTGCACGATGACGTCATTTTACTGCTTCTACTGCTACTACTACCACTACCACTACCACTATCACTACCACTACCACTACTACTACCACTACTAACAGAATCCGTCCCTACGGACCCGACGGGTAGGAGAGAGAAGCTGGGAACAAGGTTGGGTTTTGCTTTCTTATGCAAATTAGGGCTTTTGTTAACCTCAAATTTAAAGTATGAAAGCAAAAACGAAATGAATTCTGGTCTTCGTAGTAAAAACGACGTCATCGTACCATTAGGGAACTTAAGAACCACGACGACGACTTTGTCGACGACGACCGGAAGTGAGATACCGTGCACTGCGCAAGCGCGGTTAACAAATTTCGTCGTCGTGGTGTCGTCGACGACGCCAAACACAGTAGAATCACGTCGTCCTGCAATCCACAAGCTTCGGCAGGTATAACTCCCTGTTTTTAAGCGATTTTTCAAGGGCTTTGTATTTTTTCACCTCGTAAATCCAGGTATCCTTTCTTTTTTCTCCTAACAAGCGATGTTGATTGAAAATTTGACTGATGAATTGTGTTTACTTCGAAGACAACACTGAGCGGTGCAGGCCGAGCGAGCGAACTCGTAAGTGACAAATTTATTTGTACGTATTTAGGTCGGGCAAATCATATGTCTTTAATATAGAGGAAATAAACTTCATATGGAAAACAGCTATCGCATCGGAATGTCTCTTTTTCCAAATCTAAACTATGACAGACACTCGGACTCGGTCATGTCATTCAGGTTGAAAGTTGAATAACCTTCGTACGGAAAGCAGAGATTTTTCCACACGAAAAGGTCTGACAACACTAAAAATTCTTCATCGTCAATGAAAGTAGACGTACGGCTTATAAAATAAGATCTTTCATCGTCTTAAAAGACGCCTTTGCGAAAAAAACTTCGTTGCGAACGAACATCACAGTCTACATGTTTGTTTACATGCAGTGTCGTCGTCGTCGACCTATCGATCGACTGCATCTTAAGTTTCCTTTTTCCCGCCATAACTGACGTTCTCGTTCCAGTCCTTTCCCAGTCAACAGACGTCGTCGTCGTGAACTTCGTCGTGGTTCTTAAGTTCCCTAATGGCCTATTTACTAGGACAACGTATAGCTATGCAAAGCGAAATATTCTCTATTTATCTACTTAACTTTTTTTTTAGCTTATTTCAATTATATGCTTAATACTCATCAATTTTATGATGCTTGTTATATTTTCGTCTAAAGTAAAACGTTTTGCTTAAAATATCTACATATAAACCAAAAAATTGATATCATTTTCTTTAATTTTTAGATGTGAAAGAAAAAAATTTGAAAATTCCTCCCAACATGTGTGCATTTGGGATTATGATGGGACTGGAAGTCAGTATCAGATTCTTGCTGGTCCAGTTTTTATTTTGGTATTTAGCATAAGCGGAATTCCTCTTGGGTTTTGTGCAGGTGTTTTTCATCGCAGAAATCTCATAGTCTTCTGTCTTTTACTATGGAGTGCTATGACACTACTCACTGGCTTTGCCACCAAATATTGGCACTTGGTTATCACAAGATTTATTCTTGGAATAGGGTAAGAAAAGCTTTCCTTTGCTTTATCTTGGTACTTAGATATACCTTTGTGATGTCCTCTTTGAATGTGCAGGAATTTTAGAAGGATTCATCTGCATTTTAAGTTTAGGTCGTGGATTTATTGTCATGTTCTCTTATCATATTGAGTAGTAAGAGCATTTCTCTGCAAATAAGTAGTTTCTTGGCGAATAGTTATGACCGGAGAAGGTCAGAACCTCCAGTTGACTCTTCAGTAACTTATTTCGTTAATTTACTGAGGACGCACCCTTATCAATCGGGCGTCGGCCTGTGTTGCGGAGGTGACTTTTCTTTGTCATTAGTGCATAATTTCATTTAGCCTCTTCATGTCACATTGCCTATAATACTGTACACCTCTGTCCCGCTCCAAAAATTTCTATACACATTATATCCAATTTCTACCTGGGTATTGATGATCATGCATTTTTTTGTTTTTGGGGAGTTGAAATGGCAAGGCGTATATATTGTGGGAATCAAGAGAGAATTAGATCATTCTCTCTTGTACTAAATAATATTCCCTTTCAACACTAGTCTCTTACGAGCCCTTTTTTAGCGTCTCTTGACGAGACAAATACGGTTGCCTTGGAGACTAGCGCAATAAAAAACTAGCCCTTGAGATAAGTGTTAATTTCCTACATACAATAAGTGGCTGGCTGGTATATTTTTAATATTTTCTTCTTTTTTTGCACATTTTAAATAAAAATCTTGATGTAATAAAGTTTCTGTGCCTAAAAGGTTATCAGGGGCTGGTCTTTTCAGCCCTGCCGCCGTGTACGTTTTAACTTTATTTACGTCACTGACGTCATAACTTTACGAGGTAACCTTTAAAAGTGTTTTTTTTTTTCCAGGGAGGCCGGCTGTACCCCATTTGCAACAAGTTTGATCGCTGACTATTTTCCAGAGGTGAGAACTAAAAGCCTATCTTGATAGACATTTTAATCTTGACACACATACAATCGTTCGCTTTTGGCATAGAGTTTCTGGAATTTTTTACTTTTCGTTCAAGTGCAAGAGATGATTGACATTTTATGCTCAAAATGATGCTGAAAATCCAGACTCGTACCCAGTCGCTATTTAATTGTTTTTTGGGATGAGAGCCGGATGAGAGAAGATTGGGGATTAGGTTGAGGCGCGCGTGGGACGTCATGGGAAGGGATTCCTTCTTCCCTTCCCATGAGACCCCGCGCGCGCCTCAACCTAATCCCCAATCTTCTCTCATCCCAAAAAACCCTTAAATAGCGACTGGGTACGAGTCTGCTGAAAATCCACAACAACACGTTTGCTGGCTTTTTCCTATTTTCCAAGAGGGCGGATTCAGGAAAGAATCCATTTAGAGTAAGAGCCAGAAAAGAAATCTACGTTTTGTACTTACGTTAATAAGGAAAATCTGTATACCTTATCCTGCCTGCAAGAAATTAGTCCCCCTTACTTCACACAGGAGTTGAATAACCCCAGCGTCATCCGCCCGTCAATCTTGTAGTCTCGCCAGGCTTTTTAATTAGTGCGTTCATGCGGTCATAGATGCATTTCTTCAAATGTAACTTTTCTTTTATATAGACGTTACGAGGATCTGCTCTCGGTGTGTATAATTGGGGAATATATATCGGTTACAGCATGGCATATGCATTTGGTAACTTTATAACACAGGCTGATATTGATGGTAAAGGATGGAGGTGGGTGTTTTGGATTGCCGCCATGCCTGGGTTTGTCCTTGGAATCCTTATGCTTTTTACGTTAAAAGAACCAGCAAGGAGTGAGAGAGGAGATATACAAAAACAGGTGTGTCACTTAGATAATTGCCCTTTTAAAAATATTCTTGCAGCTTAGTATAGATTATGTATGGACCAGAATTCAGCAAGAGGCATGGGTACTAGCCTCGCCTGCAGGTGATTTTAGAGGAGTCGTATATTTCCTCCATCTTCAGGGAGGGAGGAAATACGGATGGGATCGTTTGCGTAGACAAGCCTTTCTTTATAACTGGTTAATGGTTGCCTTAAACACCATCGACCAATCATAACTACCGTTTGTCCACCCAAGCGAACCCAGAAATCGTTGCGCCGATAGCTTGTACCCATTCCCCCTATTGTCTCTATGGCCAGTACCTCACGTGACAGCCATAAATAGCTGAGACAGCTGTCTCGTGCCTGTTAGGTCGCCCCAGTTGTGAAGCCGTAGGTCAAAAGCAGAAACCAAAAGTCCAGCGTAAGTTGCCCTTTATTGCCTAGAAGAGTGCAAAGCTTTCCTTTAATTTAGCGCCAGACCAAGGAATATTTTTTTGTAAAGCAGTAGTGCCTCTTGCTGAATTTTGCCGAAGAAACATGTGAAGCTGATCTCCTAAGCCATTGCTACAAGTCTCGTGTATGGTGATGTTCATTTCTTGTTTACTTCTTTTGAAGAAAGTTGCCAGCACCTACATCTCCAGTCGACCAGAGCTACTGAAGCTGAAATTAATATTACTCTGTGAGACATTTATGCGCCCCTCATTGGTGATCTTGTTTCTTGCTGGATCCATAAGGAATGCTGGTGGTTATGTCTGGGCCTATAACACTCAACCCTACTTTAACAAATACTACCCAAATACCAATGTTGGAGAATACATGAGCTGGATTCCTCTGGTGGGTGGTAGCCTGGGCGTGGTTCTTGGAGGTTTTATCTCCGACCGAATTATAAAGAACCGAGGATCTTATGCAAGAGTCTGGGTACTGGTATTTAGCCAGGTAAGAAGTGTTTGAAATATAATCTAATTTGTCAAGTTGCAACTTCTCTAACACGTTCAAAAGGGTTGTTAAAGCTGGAACGTTTTAAATTCCTTTATTGTTATCATTATTATTCAAAACTGCATGTATGTAACGTACGTTTAGTTTTAGCTGTTATCGGCTCTTTTTCACCATCCTTGTTATCCTTGTAGGTGCGGAAGGATTGATCACGAGACAAACGTCTTGTTACGTGGGTCTCTCACTGTTAGCCTGTGCCAGGCTCTCAGATAGTATAGTGCGGACGTGTTAAAACGAGCAAAGCGAAAATAAGACGCGCACGACTTGGGAAAGGGGGCGGTGGCGCACAGTCTCTCCCCAGCCCTAGTGCGTTTTTCGAATTTCTTTTAACTGAACGACTTTTCAACACTATCTCGGAGCCTGGAACAGGTTACTCACTGTGGAAGTGGTTAACTAAAGCGGCCAATACGTTGGTCAGGTCGACAATGAAAATCTTCAGGCATCGTGATCAGTTACGACTGTTCCAAGCAAACAACACCATATACATGCCGACTAGCTCCAAGCCTAATGGTGGGCGTGTTCTATTAAAATGCCCTGCCGCATAATACTTGAACAGAAGCTGACCTTAAAATGATGAAGTCTCCTGAAGAAATGCTATTTCAGGCGCTGGTGTACTCAATACGCCTCTACGTTTTTTTGGTGTTCTACTTTTACCTGTTCGTTTCCTGATTTTTAACTAGCTGGGGATCTGTTTAAACTCGTTTTGTGTGTTAAAATAGATGTTCCTATAAAGGAGAAACTGTATTAACACCTTTGGTATCGGAAAGGGGGAAAGCCCAAAAATAAGGTAGCGCCAAAACGGAGCACTTAATAAGACCCTCTAGGAAGGTTGCGTTCCCGCACTTGCCATCCACCAGCACCAATAGCAGTGTTGAGCTTCGAGTATCAATTAACCCGATTACCCATCGATTCTCTCCCGATGCGTGCGGCCGCCCGTACCAAGAATTAGCGGTCGAATTTCATTCTAACCCAACAAATAAAGAATTTGTAATAAAGTTGAGTAAGAACTGTGTACAAGACTGAGGTCGGGTTAGTTGTAACCAAATTGTTATGATTTGTTTATTTCTCCTCAGGTGATCGCTGCCCCGTTTGCTGCCGGAGCACTGTTTCTCAAACCTCCATATGCTTTTATCAGTCTTATACCGTCCAACATCATTGGTGAAATGTGGATAGGAGTGACATTAACTGTGGTAGTTGAACTTGTGCCAAACACCATTCGTTCACCTGCGATCGCTGGTTACCTATTTATAATCTCTATTATCGGCGGTAACATGCCATTGCTAGTTCCTCCACTGAAGAGATTAACTAGTCTGCGTACAGCGTTATATATTCTTTTTCCTGGTTTGTACTTGCTTAGTTCAGTACTGTTCTTGTTGACTGTGTTTTCACTGAAGTGGGATCTACGGCGTGTACAAGAGGAAGAGGATGAGATACGGCCATTATTACCGGAGAGAGCTACTTTTAAACGTCAAGGGAAACAGTGAAGCTGCTGGAGTTTACTTATATATAAATTTGTATTATTCTAAGGGCTTCAGATTTGTTTTATGGTAAAATATTGAAAATTGTAATTTTAACTAAGAGAGAACATTCTCTCTTTTTTTAACTTGAATCGAGGCCCCCCAAACGGATTACTAAACAGGGGTGCAGCCAGAATTTTTTCAGAAGTACGTAGAGTTTTGTAAATCTTTTTCGCACTGTTGACTTGATTAAATTCGCGTTTCATATCAGTTGTGGTAAGGTGATCACTATTGGTCCGTGAATGCCAACGAAGGAGAAATTCTACGAATATATTAGAAATGCAACTCGTGGAAAGAAATGTTACATAAACCTGCAGGGATCGAGGAAAATGTTTTCGACCGTCCAGGCGCGGTTTTTCATTTGTTTTGATCGTCAGTAAGTTCGTAGAAAGATGACTTAGAAATTAAGAAAGAGCAACGTGCTGGAGTTTGGGCGACTTTTCTTCGATAGTAAGTAAACGATTTACTTAAACATTACTTTATTGTGGTTAAGGAGGGGCAAATCTTTGTAATGTGACCGGGTGATAAGACTGAGCGATACCATGCCAGTTGATGACCGTTCCTTGGTGGCGAGAAAATTTGAGCGCGATGATACCATCAGACAGAAGAAGTCATGAAAGTCATGATAAACTTAGTTACAAATCTTAGTGCGATCAAAGAAGCTTTTTCTTACATAAAGCTTTAGCCGGCTTAGAGGTGCTGGTCGAGCTGTAGCCGAATCAGTATTTATTCGGTTAAATTTGTTAAGAATTTAATTAATTTTGCGCCTATAAGCTTATTCATGAATAAACTTTTAAACCTTAAAGCTGGTGAAGTTTTGAGAAACAATCACAAGTTGGCTCAGTTCTATGTGGGTTTTCGTTTTAACTGTAAGTTTTCCATTTATAACAGGTTTGAATGAAGCAGAAGAATCAAGGAATGAAGATGTACACTTTAACGAGTACTTCTCCCTTTCAAGTCATTTATATTTTTTACCAGCAGGCATCGACTGTATTACTTACCCATTTACTCTTTTCAACATTAATTTGCCTGTTGTCATATACAAAAATTTATAATAGATCTAGTGAGCTGAGCTAAGAATGAGTCATAAAGGGAAACAAGTTTGGAAGAAAGAAGAGAATTCGAAACCTCAGTGATTGTTTTGTGTTCTTACAGTTTTTATAGTGAAACCTACCGAGACGTAACAAGAGAAATAACTAAAAAGCGATCATTCAAGGAAAAATGAAGATAAATATCAAAATGTACCTTTAATGCTGACACTGATAAGAGATGTCCGGACGATTTCTTAGAAGTGATAACATGTTGATAGTCTGTCTTTCATTTCTGTTTACGCTTGAAAATACACATTCGATTCGAATGAAAGAACTCTTCTCGGCTTCGTCGTTGCATCTTCTTTTGATCATAGCAAAAAAACGGAAGAAAATAATATTCAGAATCCACCTTAATAATCCCCAAAATGTGAGGATATTTTGAAAATCCCTTTGAAAACGATACTAGTTTAGATCCCAGAGCAATCTCGTTCCCAGAGGCCGCGATCCTTTTGGTCAGCGACGATTTTTCCAGCGCATGACGAAAGGGACCCCTGGGGACGAGGTTGATCCCAGACCTCTCCCGTCTCTGCACATGCGCAGACGTTGTTCAGCTCTGTCAGTCCTTCAAACTGTCAGTCCATCGTATTTTTTCGTGTGCCTAAGTCGGGAGAAAACCCAAACACTTCTGTTTTGAAAACAGTTTGAGAGGCGTTAAGCTATAAGAGGTACTGGCACTTTTGATCAACACTTGCTTACTCCCCGCTTGTTTAATATTTCTTTGCTTTGTGTCTCTGTTTATGATTTCTGATTTTGTTTATTTTTATCTTTCACAAATTTCGGGTAGGTACGTGTGCATAGGCGTGCAGGTGGCAACGTCCGTAACCCTTCTAGACTGTGTTGGCTTTACACTAGTCTGCCAACAAGATCAGGCCTCTCTCGCCTCTTTTCGGCCTGGCTCTGGGGCTTCGTAATCGAGCCCTGACATCAAAGGCTGAAAATAAACGTCTTATACACGTATATAAACTTTCTTTCCGATGAACTAGTTTGAGATTTGCGTCACTTATACATTTATATTATTTATGCTTTAATACCAGGCTGGTTAAAACTTCGCTGCCAAACGTGAAATCGCATATAAAAGCAGATTCAAACCTTCTATTCAAAACTTAGTCGTTGATTACATTGTTTAGTGCAGTTGCATTTAACAAATCAACGATTGAAAGATAATGTTCTCGTCTGATACATATTCTTTAAAATTTTGCATTTTTTCACGAAGCTTCACAGCTTTAAATTTTCAGAAGTTACTCTGTCCGAAGCCTTTTGTTCAAAAGTGCGAACACCGGAAACTCGTTTTTCTTCATACACTAAATAGACATCCAAGCGGACACGCAAACCAGCGAATGGTCGTTCATGCCAACAAGGACACGCTTTTTTAAAAACTCCGCTCACAGAGCGATGTCAGAGATCTCTCCTAGGAATAGTTACCGAAGATGTAGGGACCAAGCTAGAAGAGTTCAACTGTCATATTATCCAGTTCCATTTGATTTGAAATCTCTTTTGTTTCTTCGGCAAATTGAACGGTTGGAATAAAAGGGGGCGCAACAGTTAAATATCTTTTTCCTTTTAGATCTTCCAATGTTTTGATCATCAAAACAACGTAAAGTTAGAGCTACAGTAACTGTAAGTTACCGACACTTCGTTAGTAAATAAGCTCGCAGTTACAACTCTTCTTGGCCAAATGTATTTTACGTTAGAGACAAAAAAACTATATTTTTTCGCACGAGTTTTCAGTTTTCTTTGTCGGCTTCACTATCATCTGTACCATGCATTTCAAATTTACCATTATCCACCTTTTTTTGCAGACCTGTGCTAGATGCATTTGAATGGCCGCTTTGCTTGTGAAAAGGGATTCTAAACGACATAAACCATTCACGGCTTTTTGAGCGGAAAAAAATAAACAAAACTCTTATTCCCGCAAACAAACGGAACTGTGTTAAATATAAAGTTCGTTGTTATGGACTGTTTTTCGTCGATTTGAAGCTCCCAGCGGCGGTTTTTAAGTGACTTCTAAAACCTTGAAGGTTTGACCTCCCTGACTAATCTAATTTACAAGACATGCAACTTTCAAATCCTCATCGGTCAGCTTAGGCGGACGCAATCAATGCATTTATTCTCTTTACTCTGACAAAAGAAACCCGGTTTTTCAAAGAAAATGTATTGTTTAACCAAAAGCAAAAGCGCGTATTGAACCTCCATGTTTTCCTCTTAGACCATGTCATGGCGAGAATATTTGTCCGGCTCTGACGTTCACTCTTGTGCACGAATCCTTGAGGGGAGAGGTTATTTCTAGTTTGGCCGAGGGGATGCATGGGCGCTTATTCGTGAAAACTTTTTCACATGATTACTCAGAGAATGATACGGCATTGTCCTTAAAATTTCCCATTTTTCGGCTAGTTTGTAACGGAGCTTCCCCAGTTTAGATTTAGTTACTGTTCATTTCCTGCTATATGCCAGCTATGGCGGAAGATTTTATTTGTCAAACTTACTCATTGCAATTCACTGGTGAAAATAAAACGGGGGCTATCAAAATGGGATGGGATTTTTATTACCATTAAAATTAAGAACTTTTGCCAGTTTGAATTCCTTTAAGAATAATTGTTCATTTGAGAAGTAATATTTAATTCCCGTCACGGTGTTCCATCCGATATCCATCCGAAATTCCAGTAATTTTTCAACCCTCACATCGATACGGTGTTTGGACACAGGGTTGGAAACTGCGTTTTATGTTCGATTAAATATGCCAAGTTATATGATCCACGTTTTCTCACCACAACTAGATTCCCATAACCAGCCATAACGTGTGTAAGACAAGCGAAGAAATCAAGTCGAGACGCTTCTGAAGTTGCACGGAAAAGTAGGTTGATTCTCAGGCCAGCCGTCAGGTCGCTTACTCAGACCCTCCGAGAAAAAGCGATTAAGGAACGGTCCACTGAAAATCAGGCCACCGCTGCATGGAAGAGGTTTTACGATGATTTTCCAAACTCGTTAATACACATCATAGAAAACAGAGAAATTAACTAGCGTGAAGGAGTTTTAGAAATAGCTTAGAAATCGGAACTTGATTATCCGACAAAATATTAGTGTGTTTTGAATTTCTTTAAGGATATCATCACTCCCACTTGTTCAACTGAGACGCGTGTTATCAACACAAAACACAGCGTTTTACTCGATATCAAGAAGCCATAAAAAGTCGGTGTAAAATAAGTCAACTGTGCTTCTTTTCTTTCAAGCCACTTTCGTCAGTTTCTGGATATCGGATGATAACAATGGGTCTTATGCTTGACATATTAGAACATGAACGCGACATGATATAAAGACCCACGCAGTGCACAGATTCCCATCTTAACCCGGAACAACGAGCACCATAAAACGCAAGTGAAGTTTCTTATATTATCGCGATGAAGATCATGATGATTGTCGCTTTCGTTTATGCACTTGGTATTATGATGCTGTTAGCTGATGGAGCTCCTGAATATAATGAGACCGAGGCGGATTTGGAGACGGCTTTCCTTGACGAGCCAAGTTTACTCCCAGATTCTTTGGAACCTTGTCGAGGGAAGAGAGAACAAGACGAAAGTTGCACAGGTTTGTTCCTGGTGAAATGATTAGATTACTAGATTTCAATGAAAATGTTTTAAACACAGTATTAGATTTCACTCCTAATAACCGAAGGCACTGCAGTTAGATGGAGAGGCCCAAGATGAAGGTGGCGAGTGGTAGGTAGCTACGTAGTTTAAGAATTTTTAATTTGAGTTTTAAATAACAGACTTCAAAGTTCTTTCTTGCAAGTGCTACAAAAGTTACATGCTTGCTTGAAATGATCTGAAACAGTGTTATCGAAAACTAAGACATATCATATGTCAAAAAACACTCACACTGCCAAACAAGAAGAAAAAAGGGGGAAAGGGAAACAAAAAAGATCTTAATATAAAAAGACTTTACCGATTAAACTTTCCAGATGTAAGTCTTTAAAAGTTCCACGGAAATCATTAAGAAATATGCAAGACACTTAGCTATGATAGAATCCACCATCCCCTTTCTTCAAATGCCATTAAGGATTTAAAAGGATAACCGCGAAAATAAAAATAAAGCCAAAACCCTCAGCCATTCTTCAGCGCCTTTATTTTAAAATCATAACCGTATTTGGTTGCTGGAAAAAAATTTGCCATCAAAAATGGCGAAAAATTCTGCCTACACTGCCTGTAATGATAGAGGGGTCCAACGGAAAAATAGCTCCACATCGAATTATAATAGGAGATTTCACATAAAAGTAAATACATTTTTTTTTCTTTTTTCAGTTTTTTAAGTAAATACATGATGTACTGCATTGTTGGACAAAAATAATGTAAGCCAGTAAGCAGAATGCCTGTAACTCTGACCGAAATCTTTAATTCTTTTTTTCAGGTTGGCGCAAGGCAAATTCCGCTCCTGTGTGTTTTGGCGCCAAACATAACGTGTTTGGAAAGTTCCACCTACCATCCAGTGGCAAATTAGCCGCCATAAAGCTGGTTCATCTGTACGGTTACGTGTCCTGTTTGGCGACACATCCGGGTCATTGGTCATACTGGGGCTGCGCTCACCACGGGGGAATAACAAATTACAATAATGTAGTCATAACGAATGCTCATAACCACATTATTCTCCCGCCAAACCAGTTAATAGTAACTGGGTCGCATGCACCTGGAAAATGGTATTATAATGTCGGTTATAGTTCACTGTCCCCAGAGCTTGTCTTGTCAGTTTTCTCCGATCCCCTCCACGTTTCTTCAGGTCAAGAGTTTCGTGTGTGGTACGGCGAAGATTTGGTGAATTTCTACGATCAAGATAATGACGGAAAAGTATGCAGTGATGTCTACGCTCTTTATGTTTGAAAAGATTTTCTTCCTGTTTGGAGGGTCTTGAAAGAGGCAAATAAATCAAAAGTGTACAAGAGAAGAATAAATTTGTATGCATGAGAGGCTGGAAAAGTTGTATTTTGCACATCTCTTCTTTATAGAGGATTTTTCATAATTCCTCGCGAAGCGAGGCCTAAGGCTGCCCGAAGCAGAGGTTTATAAACTTTTTGCGCTCGCGGTAGTCTCCCTCGCAGCTGTTTTTGGGGAGAGCGTTGCGTGACGAGACAAAAACGGCTGGGAGGGACACTTGCAGCGAACCGAAATCACATCCCGTATTGACGCATGACGTGTACAGAAGGCAACAAAGCCTACAACCGAGCTGCAAATCCCTGAAAAACGCAATTCGGGTCTTCCATATTCAGTTAATCATTAAGATGAAGCTATATAATACAGTCAAAACTCCATGTGTGACAACCTCTCGTAAGCAACTTAACTTCCCATAAGCGATCACCTCAGTCCAAATCACTAAAAGTTTCCCTGAGTGAAATCACTACCGTTGGAAACTCTCATAAACGACCACTTCCTCTATACGACCGCGACTACTTTTTTGGATAACGTCTTTAGAATTTTACACTGTTTTTATGCTGTTGTAAGCGACCACTTCATTTAAGGTTTGATGTATGGGGATGCTCCGCCCCGAGGTCTGACATCTTACGTTTTATATACCATTTTTGACAGAAAAGGTCCTCCTTTTAATCAAGAGAGAATAATCTCTTGCTTTAAATTATAAAAATAAACCACAAACCCGAACGCTTTCTCGACTTTTTCACTCACCATAAAATGTATTTGATACCCTTTCTTGGCCAAGCGAAATCCTTAAGACGGAATCCACCAGGAAATTGAGTAATTTTAATTTTCAGTGGACAAAAACCTTGCACCAGAATAATTTAAAGAATATTGCATTCTTTTCTACATTTTTCAAGGGCTATAGATGTAATTAGTTACCTGTAATAACACCAAAGAAAATTTCTTATGCAAGAAAATGAATGTCAAATTTCACAAGAATTGTGAAAACACAGGGGAAATTCTGAAAATTTCATGTGCAAGATGTCATTTTGTGAAGTTTGACATTTATTTTCTCGGGATCCTATAGATGGCTTTCACAGTGACGTCATCAAATTGTAAAGTCAAAAATCTCTGTACAAGTTTCCATTTCCGTAGCATGTTTCATTTCCAAAATACAGCGATTTGAGCTTCCGAGTTTTCACAGTGCGTGACACCAAAATTGGAATGCTGTCTGTTGAAAAATGTCTCTCCTCTTCATTTTCAGCAGTATAACCATTTCAAGTGTTAGAAGATATGTTTATCCGCACGTATGCTAGTTCTCGAGTGAAAAGAAAGAGCTTTTATAGTTAAAGTGAACTCCAGATGTTTTTGTTATTTTCCGCGGACGGCCATATTGGTGCACCAAAACGGTGCTCCGTGATGGCGTCCCCATACAAAGCTCTACAAAGGTGCGTGAAACGTTTCGGCAAATAACTCAGAATCTGTCGGCAACAAAGACCTGAGACTTCGACAAAATGTTTAAAAGTAAGTCTTTTATAACATTTCATCTTCTTGCCTTCTTCCACCGGACGGTTTCCAATTTATTTAATACGTGACAGTGAAAACGATCTATAAGAAATTTTCTTTGGTGTTATTACAGATAACTAATTACATCTAAAGCTCTTGAAAAATGTGAACAAGAATGCAATATTTTTTCAAATTATTCTGGTACAAAGCTTTTTTCCACTGAAAACTGAAAATTACTCACTTTCCTGACGGATTCCGTGTTAACCTTTCATATACCTGAAGCCTGAATATAGTACCCCTCGCAGGGCCTCTCCGTATGGGCCATTATAGGGGGTATGCCCCCGGGCTCGGAGTTCTTATAATGAGGGGTGATAAAAATCCAGGAAATAATATGAGAAAGGCAGCGTTGGGTCACAGTTTTACTGGGTAAACAAAGATGAAATTCTTTCGGCTATCAGGGTCGCTTCCTTTCTCGACACGGTCGTAAGTTGCACAGGTGCCGTACCAAGAATGTTTGCCGATGACAACTATCTCATGTTATCTGCTAAGACGTTAATAGACAAACTCGTCCTCAGGGCGCTTTTCCCTAGCTTTGGAGGTGAAGCCAGGGAAAAGGGCCCTGGGGAAGAGGTTGGTTAACAGAGCTTAAGCTAGCTCTAACCCCTGAATTAAATAACCTTAGCTGTTGGCTGAAAGCTAACAAGGTCAGTCTAAATGTTGCTAAAACAGAGCTAATGATTATTGGATCAAGACAAAGACAATCTGCCCAATGTGACGATGTAGAAATCAGAATTGATGGCCAAATTATCAAGAAAATCGATCATACCAAATCTTTGGGTTTTACCATAGATGCTCATTTCTCTTTTGGGGTAAACAGGTTGAAGAGACTTGCAAGAAAAAGCCTCTTCAGCTATAGGCGCCCTAAAACGTCTGCGGCCCTTTTAATTTATATCCAAAGAAACTGCAATTCAAATTTATAACGCTTTAATTATGCCTCATTTTGATTCCTGTAGCCCCGTCTGGGACTGTTTGAGTGGTTACTTGAGTGATAAGCTCCACAAATTACAGAATCGTGCAGCCAGAGTTATTACTAAATCACCCTCTGATACGAGCTCAAAGCACCTTCTCTACACCCTCGACTGGGAGAGGCTATCTCTTCGACGAAAGAGACAAAAATCCTTTAGTTAATGATGTATAAAACCATGAATGACCTTGCTCCGGAATATCTACAAAGTCTTTTCTCTCAGCGTCACTCTGCTTACAACTTCAGAAACTCTGAGGGAAGGCTGACCCTGTCCAAACCAAGCATCCATTATTTCAAACGAAGCTTCTACTCTTACAGCGGGGCCATGTTATGAAACAACTTGCCCAAAAGCTTAAAAAATGCTGCATCCGTTGAGCATTTTAAGCGAAATATCAAGAAGGTAGCCGATATATAGGATTCCCACACGGCAGTCATGTAAAGCAGTTGTAATTAGTTTTAGTTTTTAACTTAAGCTTAACTCAGTGATGATTTCCAGTGTTTAAATAAAGATTTACATACATACATAAATACTTACATGCATACATACAGGTTTGATCAGTTCTAGTCACTTGATCTTAACCTAGCTCAATCCCTTAATGAACGCCTGGAAAAAAAAAATTGATAAAATTTCAGTCTTCTGAAGAGCGAGAAATGATGAGAACGTGAAAAATTGTCACTTATTAAGTTAGGGTTAGAAATGGTAACCTGGTCACCCGATTGCTTTTGTAAGTTATTTTACCTTGTCTTTGTATCTGTTTAATCATTGTTTTTCGCCCCTTTTACTTCGCATCGCTTCTCTCTCGTTTGTTCGAAATTAAAGGGCGTAAAGGCTGCGACGACAAGTTACAAGACGCACAAGCACCTACCTACCAGTCATTTAAATATCACCACTCTTCGTAATAAATATCGGATGCACAACCGAAGATCTCCCCAATGATCCTGCCAACTGGCCACTTGGTCTCGACAAAATTCTCCAGCAGTTGCTAAGGTAGACAATGGTAGTCCATGAATGTTACTCAGTGTTCTGCCAACTAGGACACGCGTTTTAAACCCCTCTCACAGAGCGATTTCAGAGCCATCCCTCCTGGTTACGGCGGAACTAGGCCGATGACCAAGCTAGAAGAGTTCTACTGTCAAATTATCCGAGTTCCATTTGAGATGACAACTCATTTGTTTTTTCGGCAATTTGAAGGCTTGAAATAAAAGGGGCAACGTACAGTTAAATGCCTTCTTCCTGTTAGATCTTCCAATGTTTTTATTCATTGTTTCGATCATCAAAACGCAATGTTTAGAGCTGCTGAAAGTTTTTTTTTTTTAATATTTATTTATTGACAAAAAAAAATAATTACAAATACTTGTTCTTTTAACTATGAAAAATAATATATATATATATATATAGCCGGATTTATGAAAACCGTACCATCGGACACCAGGAGCCCACACACCTTAAACTGACTCAACTAAAGTAAATATGGCCAAGAAACTCAGCTCTTACCCATGGTTCTCTTAAGTTGACTCTCTTCTTGGTTCCTGATTAGCAAAAGAAACATTCAAGTCCATCAGAAAGACACTCTGGACTTGTCCATACACTCTAGCTGCTTAAAGGCCCTGAATGACGGAGGACGCTTGAGACTTAAGCAAGTTCTAAGCAGAGAAATTCAAGGTTAAATCACCCCCCCTGACTTCCTCCACCCCCCCCCCCAGCCTAGCACATGCTTGCATGCTTGAGGGGAATGCTTTCATTGGCCAATGGGCCTCAAACGTTACAAGAATTTGACATGACAAACTAAAGGCAGACATGACCAGTGCACTGACTCTCCCAGACCAGGACTAACGGAAGGTACAACGCTTTTGCAGCACCCTCCCCCCCTAGGGATTGACATGGAGGCCCCTTTCCAACCCATCGCGAGTTAGCTCAGGGACTGAACTTGTCAATGAGACCAACCAGGACAGCAAGCCCCCTATGTTTTTTCTCACCGCAGTGACCAGAAAGCTGGCTATCGCCAGCTTTCTGTGCGAATATTCTGGTCCATTTTGAGGTATGTTTTCAAAAATTCGGCTAGATATATATATATATATATATATATAGAAAAAAGAACTAAATTTGTAAAGGAAAGAAACTAAATTAAAAGGAAAAAGACGCAAACCTAATAAGTGAAACAGTACAGCAGTAAAGTTCACATATCTAAATTCACTAGCATTCACGTATCTAAAGAAGTTTTTCCCATGTTTTTTTGGAGCTGCTGAAAGTTACTGACATGAATCGTTGGTAAACGCTCACGGTCTCCACCCTTCTTGGCCAAATCGGTTAGAGATAAAAGAAACTGTCCTTCTTTGCAGGAGTTTTCAGTTTTTTTCGCCGGCTTCACTATCATCTCTATGATTCATTACAAATTTACCATTATCCACTTTTTTTGTTGCAGACCCGCGGCGGCTGTGC